AATCCAACTAGAGTCTCTATTACAAAGTTTGATTTAGTCTAATAATAGGGTATAATTTGATATTGCGGTAGTCACGGGACTGGTTTCAAGGTCTGCTTATTACTTTTTGAACTTGAGTTGTTGGTAATACTAATGCTTATTACTACTTTCAATTCTTTTTTACTAATATCTATTAAGGGGCTTCTCTACTATTCAAGTGTCTCTGTGTCTCAATTAAATTTTTGAGTTTCAAATTTTAGTATTATGTGTAACAAAATTATGACTTGGAACAATTATGTATTAATGGTGTTAATTATACACTTAATCAATTTAATAGTTTTATATAAATAGAAATCAATTACTAATATGATCTTTCTCTTTCACTTTTAATACACTAATAATAATAGGTCTTTTACAAATCACAGGAACAAGAAAACTATGACAAGTGAAATATTACCTCGACATGATAATCAAGGGGTATTTAGGGAACTACTACTCTTATTTATTTCATAGTTGAAAACTCAAAGGGAGTTATCCTTTATTTTTCAGCAAAATAATTGTGTTTAAATACATTTTATATTATACTAATTAACTATGGACTTTTCTGCTATTATGACCATATTTGCTATTTCTAATATTTCTATTATATCATCTGCTATATCTGCTATCTGGCAGATATGGTAGTTATACATGGAAGGTTTGGCAAACTCCAACTGATTTGGCTAGATCAACCAAACCACTTTGATTTTCAATTTTATGAAATTTTCCTCTCACAACATATATACAGTCAGCCCCCTAAATGCATCCTCCCTAAGTGCATGACCTCCCTAAATGCATATTAATTTTCTGGCCCAAATATATACTAAACTCCTATAAATGCATATTTTATTATTGTTCTCTAAATAAATGTCCTCAAAAGTTTGGTCCCGATGATATGCATTTACGAACGGTTGACTATATATAATCTGCTATAAATATCAAATAAATTTTATATATACTTAATATGTAAGGCCGTTCAAAGTTGATTAGTTGTTTAATGTCAAAATTTTGGATTTGGTGAAAGGAGGAGAGAAAATTTAAACAAACATATAATTTAAACAAATTTATATATCACAGATTATTATTTGATTAAATAGCTGCCTTATTTATAGACTTTCATATGTTATAATATTTTTACTTACTTCACAGATGAAAAGATAAAAATAATAATTTAAGCTATAGTTAAATATCTGGTTAAATCATTAAAACATCATGGATAATGCTAAAATTGAAATTTGAATTTATTTTATAGTGCTTTTCAAATTACTATGATCAGTGAATTTCATGCATACACACTACATGGAATTTGAATTAAAATGAAATTTTATTGATTTCCGCTGATCAAAATAATTTGAAGATTATTTTTGAACTTTATTATAGGCAACTGATATTCATACCCCCAATTTTGTTATTTGTACCTCCTGTAGATTAAATTTTTTTTTTAACTTTGAGTGATGATATCTCGACAATTACCAAACCAATTTGATGATTTTTTTTTTTTTGAATTTTACAGCTTTGTAGAATTAAAATAAAAAAAAATCTATTGATTTTGGCTTGATAGTTGTCAAGATATCTTCGCTCAAAGTTGAAGAAAAATTTTGGCGCAGCTTATATTTTGAAAAACGTTTTGAGTTTTTTAAAACTTTAAGCGATGATATCTCAACAACTACCAAGTCAAATTCGATGAATTTTTTTTTATTTGAATTCTGCAGCTTTGTAAAATTCAAAAAAATATATCAAATTTGGCTTGATAGTTGTTGAGATATCATCGCTCAAAGTTTTAAAAACTCAAAACATCTATCAAAATAAAAGCTGTGCTTTTAAAACTTTGAGCGATAATATCTCAAGCCAAATTTAATGGTTTTTTTTTTATTTTTTTTATTTTTATTTTTTTTTTTAATTCTACAGCTTCATAGAATTCAAATAAACAAAATTTATTGAATTTGGCTTGGTAGTTGTTGAGATATCATTGCTCAAAGTTTTAAAAAACTTAACATCTATCAAAATAAAAGCTGCGTCAAAATTTTTCTTTAACTTTGAGCGAAGTTATCTCGACAACCACCAAGCCAAAATCGATAGATTTTTTTCTTATTTTAATTCTACAAAACTGTAAAATTTAAATAAAAAAAATTCATTATATTTAGCTTGATAGTTGTTAAGATATCTTCGCCCAAAGTTGAAAAAAATTAATCTACAGGGTACAAATAACAAAATTGGGTATAAATATCAGCTGCCTTATTATATAATAACATTTAAAATAAACTTAATCACTAATCAGTTTTAAAAAGACTATCATGAACTTTTGTTAGATTTTCAGATATATCAGCAAGCTGTTTTAATTTACTTTTCTAATTAATACTAGTCTATAGCTGTCTTTTTCAGTTAATAATATTTCTAAAGTTTCTATAGACATGTATTTAATCACTATCTAGTCATGTTTTTGAACTTGAACAGGATTTAAATAACTTTATTTCACATTTCTATATAATCGCATGATAGGGTTTACAACTTATAATCACTACTTTAATTAGTAAAAAAATGGGTTTTTATCAATACGAGTTATTTCCCTAGCAATACTTGTTATTTCGCTTAAGTCCAGAGAAATAACAAGTGTTGCCAGAAAAATAACTCACATTGATAAAAACCCCATTTTTTTATTTGATTAAAGTAATGATTATGAGTTGTAAAACCCGTCATGACATCAAATAAAAACAAAGAATAATACTCTTATTTTACTCTATGAGAAAATAACTCATTAGATATCTATTCATCTGGGGCCCTTCGGGCCCCCAGATGTACCTCTTATTCCTGCCATAGCGGGAAATAAATAGTATATAATAATAAAACTACAAACTATAAAACACAATTTATTTGACAGTTTTAATCATACTATTATTAGATATCCTGCATTATAATTGGCTTGTTTAATTTCAGAGGGGATGGCTAACCTGGAGGGGTTACGTTAAACAACTAATTAACTTTGAATGGCCTAAATATATTTATTTATTGTATATTTAAAATATACATGTAAAATTATTGTTATATGTAAAACTTTCTATTAACTAGTATAACAATAAGATATTCTTTAGAATTTTTTCTTATGCTATTTTATAAAATGCTAGCACAAATTAGTTTAAAATTTAGTGAATAGGAATTATACAATCATGGTTAACACACTAAAAATTTTTTTTCCATAACTTAATATTATAGAATCTTTTATCTTTCTTATTTATACCAAATAAGAATCGTGAATCATTTAATGCTATATTCTTCTTCTATTTGCTTTACAAGAAGAACTAGTTGACTATGTGTCTTATTTAATATAGCCACATTAATAATTTGACAAACAAGAATAGTACAGATTCGTACAAAATTTGTAAGAATCTTCTGGTCTGGTTATGAAAGATAGTTCCATAAGCAAGGTGTCACATAAATTAAAATAAAATTTTTTTATTCATTAGCTATAAAATAAGCAAACCCTTTACCAATATCAACTTTTTTTGAAATTTATCCAATATCAGATGGTACTTGAACTTCTGACTTTTTTTTTGAATCAACTTAAGAGTCTGAGTATCTAATCGACCATTATCAACCTATAATCATTTTATAATCTATTTTGCAATATCTAAAAATAGGCAATACATTAGATCGACAACTATAAATCGAACAGAATCAAAATATGATAGCCAGAGTAACTCAGACTATCGAACCTTTGTAAGTTTTGTATATTGTATTCTACTTGACTTTGTATAATACTTTTTTTCACTTTTCTGTATCAGATCTATACTTAATAGAATCTCGCTCAATAAATCATGAATTCATATTGTTGATATCTCCAAAATGATGGTGCTGATTTTTATACTGTACAAGTTTGTCACAACGATGACAAGCCACTAAAGCTGAAATATAGCTGCATAATTTTCTCTTGCATATATATCACAAGAACATAAAATTACAGCAGCTTAAATTTTTTTTGATAAAGGATTTTTATAAGTTGATATTTGTATTCTATCCCAAAGTTGACATAATTCATTAACTATAGGTGCTAGATAATGATTTATATAATGCAAACGAATCTTATTTGGTCTGGGTAAAATATCAAGAATCATTACATTTTCAACTTTAAATCTTTCTTCTCTTGGCAAATTACAAATCATTGCATAAATTACACCAATACTATACTGTGTATTAGTAAAAGATTAAAATCAGTCTAAGCTTATCAAACCAAGATGTGAATCAGCTATTTCATGTATAAAAAATTGACTACTATTTGATGGCATGTCTTTGAACTCTTTCCAAACTTGATCATCAAAGATATCAGAAATAACACCATTTATTATATTTTGACGTATCCACTTACGATATGCTTTTTCAAAGTCTGGTTGCTTATATATTTTTAATAAATAGCTTTTAATATTAGAGAGTGGAAACAATAAAATTGGCTTATTAATAATTTTATTATTTAAATATTTATTTTAAACCACTAAAGCAGAATTATATACTTTTTTTTGTCAAGAGCCGACCATATTTAAAAATTTGATATGATCATATCTTTTAATTTCTAGTTGGCTTCTAGTATTTCATGAACTAACTACTTCTTCCTTTTTGTACAATTTATTTAAATTTGGATATAGAACATATACTGTGACATTATTACTAATTTTAAAATATTTTTGAGCCTTATAAATTAAATTTGGATAATCATTAAATTGATTCTTACCACCTACTTCAACTAAGATTAGCCAAATAAATTTAATTAAAGTATTAATAGCAGTTTTAGATATTTTGAATATAGTTTGAAATTTCAATAATCAAAGCATAATTTATTTATATTCTAAAGGTAGATTAAAGTTGGGTTGAAATTCAGTTTGATCATTGTCGCCATCAATATTTGGTACAAAATAGTTCTCAAATTCATTAATATTACTATAAATTTTTTCTTTGGTTGATTGCTTATTTGATTCTTCTGTCAATTGTTCAACTCATTCATCAGCTGATTCTTCCGTTGATGTTTTTGTTGATCTTTTATCTAATTCTGCAACTTCTTCAACTGATTTTTCACCTGATTCATTATTAAATTGCTTAACTAATTTTTTATTTAATTCTTTATTTAATTCTTCAAACTCTTCATTACTACTGTTATCTGTTAAGTTTTCATCTGTTGAGTCTTCATTTAGTAAGTTTAATTGAAAACTTGTATGAGTATGACATTTTGTTCTTGACAAAAATAATAGCTCTATATTTTCCTCATTGTCTTCTATTTCTTGATTGTTACTTAAATTTAATCTGCCTAATTGTTCTGTAAATAATTCACTTTCTTCTTCTATAACAGTTTCTGTTTCTATTTCTTCCCCGTCTTCCTGTTGTATCATATCTTCTAATTCATATTGAGCTTTTGTACATTGAGAAACTAGATTACCATTATATATATATAATGAACAATATCAAGAAACATGAGTATTTCATTGGGTTGACATAAAAGTTGTTATAGAAGTTTTAGCTATATCAGAACTTATACTTTCTGAATCTGTAATAGAATCTAAAATTGCTTTAAAACTACAATTTCGTGGTATTGTGAATAAATTTAGTATATAATCGAGCTATTATAAATTATTATTGTTAAATAAAACTTGAAATATTTTTTCTTTTCTTCAAAAAAATTAGGCTTTTTATTAAAAAAAATTAGTTACAATTATAGCTATCGATAGTTGATTAATAGTTTCATATACTATAATCTTT